TTGGTCAGACAGAATGTCCGGTGGTTTCCTCTCTACGTCGGACAATTTCACGAATGGGTCGGACAATGTCCGTGACCGACCGATATTTTAAGGCCTGCTAACACATTCCGAATGTTTTCTCGTGAGCTCACAATAAATTAAGTCGTTTCAAGAAATCGACACGTGCTAACAGTAAGTTCCGCTATTCGAAAAGCGGAAAATGTATGGTCAGGCAGATTTTTTTAGGGTGGTGCTGGATTCTCTAGGGGGTGGGGTGCTAGACACCAGTAGGTGGATTACGCATCCCCCTGCACCCCCTACCTCCTGTCCGTAGTCTACCGCCTCCTCCCTAGCGTCCGCCGCTGTGCGATGCAAAAACATTCTCCTGAAATTTACATTTTGCGTTCGTTCAAAAACAGTCTTCCACGTTCTTTTCCAAACATATTTACTAACGTATATTTACAAACAATTTACACCATGTTACAAATGATAATACTTACAAATCCTTTTGCATGACTCATATAACCAAACCAAACTAATAATATACATGTTCGTGTTCACATCACTGGTTCACATGAGCATAGATATTGATGACAAAACGGTGCAGACCTAGCGAAGTGGTGTGCCATTCACAAGAACCATTTTAGAAGACGACGATGCTTGACGACATGTCACCGAGTAGACCTGGAAGATGTAAATATTCCATTTAATAACTAAACAAGACGCCTGCTCAGGCGTTAACTGTGCTGGTGTGTAAGGGTAGAACAGTTCGTAGAACAGTTTGAAAAACATTTACATGTATATTTATGCCAGGGTAGAGATGGGTAAACAAACAATATATAGTAAACAAACCGAACGCCCCAAGTCACAAACGTTTAAGGATTTTAAAACGTCCGTAGACAGGCTATGGGTTTCAAATAATACGCAGGTAATATACCAGAAACATTTTTTGTTTATAGTCAGTCCGCTCATAACCTGGCGGCCATTTTGACTTGAGCTCGCAACTTGCAGGTCAGCGGTTCACTTTCGCACAGAAAATTAGGGAACCTTAACATTGGGCCTTACGGCCAGTGTAAACACTTATAGACTTTACTGTTTATTGCACTTTTACCCCAAGTAACTTCGTTCTCATGTTTGCCTGTTGCAGCATGGCCGCGCAATTACAATATACCGGTAGGCCCTCTGGCCCTGGCAGGAATCGAACCTGCAGCCCAACGGTGCAGTGCTCTAGCTTGCGGTTAGAGGTCGACAATTGGCCTCTGTAGCTCGGTTGGTTAGAGCGCTGCACCGGAATCGCAGGGCAACATGTTCGATTCCTGCCAGAGGGCCTGTATAGTTGCGTTTTTCGCAGCGGCTCCTGGATAGGTTTAAGAGGAGATTTTTTTGTATGTTACGTAACACGCGCTCAAAACTAATGTGTATAATACATCACTTGAGGTTATAACTAAATTCAAAATTTTTACTTTTCGACACGTTTCTCAATCGGCAAACAAACTTAAAAAGTATGTTTAGTGCTTTATCTGTAAAATAAGACTGAAATGAAAAGATTTTAGATGGTACGCCAAAGAGAAAATGATGTCTGAAGTTCAGTAAGTTTGGCTTATATAGCTGTAAATACGGCGTTAATTTTAAAGCATCATTGATAATTATATTTTAATTGACAATGTTTGACTATTATTTTATGTTTCTCAAACGGCAGATGCATTTAAAAAGGTAGCTAACTCTATAAACTGTAGAGAATAAAGCTAAAACAAAGTAATTTTGAAAGGAACACCAAAAAGATTTTAGGTTTTGAACACTTTTCATGGCAAATACGTGACATTGAAAAAAATTGCCTCTTAAATAAATGTATAAAACTTACACTCGAAATTTCCACATACAATACTAACCCTTTTCCCGGTTTTATCATCCTGAAACATGAACGAAGGACAATGGTATAATGTGTGAGCAAACATCGCCTCACGAAACTCTTGAGCAACAACGCTCTCTCCAAGTCGTGTTCGTTCTCGCGCTGTATTTCTCTACAAAGATAAACAAGCTATACTACTCGTTTGTATTCGTTTACGAAACACTGCAACGTTTTTTCCAGGATTTTTTGCTGGATCCATTTTTGCAGAGAAGATTAAGGGGGAGCTTCACGCTATAGTTGATCATGAAAATTCACAAAATTTGGACCATCACTATTTAGCAGGTTTTCAAATCGTTTACACAGAACCTATATATTTTTAGAATCTGCCGAACTCCAGCTGGATGCTGAGAGAATATATTTATACGGTTAGAAAGTTACATGCCTAAATCTAGACCTGTGCCAAAAATGGTTCATTTTCATCAAAACGGTAATGATAAGTATTCGGGGGGCAGTTCACATAGGTTCGAAAATCAAGTTAGGCACCTAAGAGTGATGTTTTCCAACGTTTTACTCTTCAATCGACCAAATCTGGAAGTAAAGCTCCCACTTACAGTAAGCTTACCAAAAAGCTGCGGGTCTGGCGTAGCTTTCCCCCTAGGGGAGGGGATAGAGCCGTAGAGAAGTGAAGTTTCAGAAACAGCCCCAAATTGCTGTGATTTTGGAGTTAATATTTAGTACAATTGAGTTAAGCATGGTTTTTCTTGCGTTGTGAAACGATTTGCAGGCGGTACATATGTTCGGGTTTTTTCTTACTTTGTTTGGTTTCCGATGGAGAAAATTATTTTCACATCACAAACAACTCAAACAACTTCATTTTTACTGCACTGAAACTTTTGATGAGCTGACCGAATCTCAAAACTCAATTCAAGAGCGAGTTTTGAGGGCCGTTCAATGGCCCTAAAAGGCCTTGAATGGCTGAAAACCCATGCTGTGCTATAAGTCATTTGTGGTATGCTCCGCGAAAGTAAAACTGCAAGCTCTGAAAACATATTTCAGTATGTGGGTATATTATACCCTATATACATATAAACGATGTGCTGCAAACAAAATATGGCAACCTATTTGCACTTTTTTTAGCTTGCTTTTATTTTTGCAAAATCAGTAATAAAGATACGTACAGTATAAAGCAAGAGGTCCTAATGCAAACTTCGCTTCAGGTTAAAAAAATCTTACTTGTTCGTCGATAGATAATGGAAGACTGGTTTCGTTGGGGGAGGGCCAGACAAACTCTAGGGGCTCAGGGGGACATGCTCCCCGGGCAAATGTTGGAATCTCGCGTTTCCCAAATTTCCTGCGTTCTGGGGGACGAGGTCGTTTTGTTAATTTTGCATTCTAGATGTCGAATAATCTGGGGACTTAGCCCCCTCAATTCTATTCCTTGGGGGACGGGGACGATCTTTGTCCCCTAGCCTCCACCCGTTCCGCCGCGTTTGTGCTCGTTGCATTCTCTCGCTTCATCCCTTTCATGGCTTGAAAAATACATCTAAAACATGTACAATATTTGGCTCGATTAGGGACCGGTCATAAAGTAACTGCTAGGGTGGGCTGGAGTGATTTGGGATGGGCCATGGAAAATCTTTGGGCAGTTTCGATGCGGCGCCAAACAAAAAAACATGCATGTCTACTTCAAAAAATAAAGATACTAATAGTAAAAGTAAACAAAACTATCCAAATTATCAAATGCAAATAATGCTATTCTATTGAAGCCAGTACTTTGTTTATACAACAACAAAAATTGGTCGAATCACAGCAAATACAACCAACTGGAGAGCAGCTCAGTACCAATGTGTTTGTCAAGCTTGGTGGAATTATGTATGTCAATACAGTGCCGTGCATGTATATTTACAATGTTCATACCTGCAAGTTCTTTTTTTATTATAAAAGTGTATTTTCCTAATTTAGTCTACATCCTAAGATGGGTCACCGAACTTATTGGCAAAATTTGTGATTTACCTCCAGTCCACCCTAGCAGTTACTTTATGACCAGTCCCTTACATTTCCAATCATTCGATAAAATGTGCGTAAAAATTAATACAATACAACAAAACAACACTAGTATACCATATCCACTACTCGATACCAATTTCTTGAACGTTGACCCGAACTGTATCTTTTAAGATTAAAATTAACATTCCCAATATGTTTTTCATCGCCATCAGTGACGCGGTAGATGTGCATAATAATTGTTCTACAAACAAATATGAAACTTTAAGGGACCGCTCATTAATTAGAGGGGGATGAGGGGAGGGGGGGGGGGGACGGGGGGCTAGTGCAAATGAAATATGCAATGTTCATTTTTCATTGACCCTCTCAAAA